AAATATTTCTTTAAATTAAATAGTCATAACCACTCGATCACCGAGCTTGCCAGTGTCGGCTGGCTGGTTCAAGTCAGATGTACATGTAGCAGCGGGTACCACAAACAACTATTTCAAAGGATGGATTTGCACTGGGGAGAAGTTCGAATCCATTGCAAAGGCATGCACACACAGCGGTTATTTGTAATCAAATCTGTTGGTGATTGTTGTGTCAGGAAAATGTTGATTCTTAATGCCTATATGCTGGCAAAGAGGATAAACCAAATATTAAACATTTGCATCTCTCTGATGCAAAATATAATTGGTTGTCTGTCAGATAGTTATATTTATATATTCATGACATTATATTTCCAGATTTGGAAAGTTTTAGTTATCCCATAGTTGGGAGGACTGTAAGAATTAGTTCTTTATTTGTGATAACTCACTTCTTTTTATTCTTTCCTTTCCCTGTTTTAGGGGTGCAACGTCAGTAGTTCTGAGATGTACGCAAGTAGGAACAGATAAAGCACATGCTGTCAAAGTCATCAAGAAAACAGTAAGTTATACAGCATTATCTTGTTAATCATACATGTATTCACGTTGTCCACATTTCCTTGTCCATCTGTATAGTTTAACACCGTTTCATAACAAATTTTTGTGATTTATTTCTAAACAAGAGAAAAGGTGCTTAGGTCTTATTTTGAGACTAGTTTTGTGTGAAAGTTTTTGGCACCTCTTGCTTGTATTCATTAGCACTGTGAACGTTGTTACGGTAGAAGTTGAAATGTCAGCAGGTTCTTCTCAAGACTGGCAAAGTTTCCTGAATGTTCAAGTTTCAATTTATTATCTTCGTCTGTGTGACTGTCTTATTCCACCTGCAAACATCTTGAGTGGTTTAATTTTTTTTGTCAGAGTACTGGTACAAGGCAACACGGACCGGTAATTGTCACATATTTTTATAAGATTGACTGTAGTGCTATTGTTGATTTGTTTCCAGACTTGGCAATGTTTAACCAATCCTGAGCAATGATTTTCTGGCACTGGAGCAAATTCTACCTGTATGTGAAGATTAATATCGACCAAAAAGATAAACATGTTTTAAAACTGGCACGTTGGTCAAAGTTTGCCCTGTGAAAGGTTCCAACCTTTTGTTCTGTGAAACAAATATGGCGGTTTTACATGTGAAAGCTACTGGTAATCGATCAAATCACTCCATTTACCAAAGTCCAAAGACAAGTGATATCTGAAAGAAAAACTCAAATGAAAAACGGACAGTTGAATTTGGGCAATTTGGAAACTAACAGGAAATTGGGGCATGATAATGTTGGACCTCTCCTTCCAGACTGAATAAAACTGATGTACACATGCAAGTATAGATATAGTCTTGTGTTCACACTCAGTGGATACAGATGAGCAGGATTTAATTGATGGATTAACTTTGAGAGGGACTCGTGACTAAATATGATGAAAATTCCTTGCAGTGAACCAAACCAAAACCTGCAAGGGTTAACTCATGAAAACCAGACCCGAGGATGAAAGGGGTATAAATTGGTGGCCAGCAAAACAACAAAGCGGTGTTGAAAGAAAGTGTCCTTGCGATAGAGGGAAATGCTGTTGTTCAGAGATTCCCCTTTTCAGTACTTTGTAGAGTCTTCCGTGTGCAGCATCATGCTTGTGCTTGTTCCCCTTGGCCTGGGCAGCAAGGTGGATTTGCATGGAAGCCATAGAATCATGTTGTATAAATTTGATCCAAGTATAAAGAGGAGATGATAGTCAATAGGTTTGTTTCACTGTGGAGTGCATGATGGCTCTGATTATCCCCCTCGGGGTGGATGTAATCCCAACTGTGAAATCAATATGGTTGTGTCCTGTACCCTGCTTTGTAAAACAGAATCTGAAATTCTGATTGAATTATGTAAAATGTTATGGTGTAAAATACCTGGTACTTGTTTTTTTATACGCATGTATGAAAATGTATGTACATATACCTGTGAGTCTTAAATAGCCAATTGCAAGGTTTAAAAATAGTCATGTAAATGGGACACCCAGCTCATTTAAGCGTAACTCTTGCGCAGTCACCACATTATTAACTCCATAAAGCCACAGCTGCATGTGTTCTTTGCATTTCCATCACAAACTTCTGTGAAGATACAATAAACTTGGCGTTGTTCCAAATAGAGATTATGCACCTTGACCCTTTTGAGTGGCAGAAAACACGTGAGCAAAGCTCAAACCTGTCGAAGGACTAGTTTTGTTTAATTGAACGATCAACCAAAAAACTGTTTCAGTTTGTAGCTAGATCTTACCATTCACAAGCAAACACTTCTTGTGATTCACCTTTTAAGTACAGGCTTAAAAAAAAATTCCCTTAATTGACGTCATTGAAATTATACTTGTACGTGTAACTTCCAATATGTGAAGTACACGAATAATAATCTCAGATAACAAAATAAAAAGTGACGTCATATGAAATAACAAACGTGCTGTAACAGCAGTGCATGTACAGCAGTAAATTGTACATGCACTTGAAAAGATAACTCCAAATACCAAATATTTATCTGTGCAAATTTATTTCAGGTGCGTGCTTCCGCTTTCATGGATTTGCTCAGGGAATTCAGTGTTGTAGAATTCAGCTTCTTTCTCTTCTGATAGTGAGAAACATTGTGAAATTTAGAACAGTAAAAAGAGTCCTTGAGATGATGCGTTTGTTGTACAGTAAACTGATATCATTGAATTGCATTCCTCCATTTTGATGAATCCGTTTAAGTCTGAGCTACGAGGTACACTTACAGAGATTATTTACACTGACTTGGAGACGATCCATCCCGTTTTGGTTGGTTGGGGGAAATCGACTTTTGTAACAAAGCTTATGAATCGATGAACATTAGAGGAAATCAGAGCCATGGTGGATCCAGGGGGTGCACCCTGCCCTGTCTCACCAGTTTCAATTTCTCCCAGTTTTTTACTGTTTTCTCTTTTGCTCTTAACCGGTTAGTTAATAGGTTTAAAGGCAGAAATGCTGGCTCATGTTCGGATTCACCTCCCTGTGCCCCCATACTTAAACCCCGGGATGCCCTTGTTTTTGTAAATACAGGGTCTGCCACGGAACAGAATGCCTTTTCCAAATGATTTAAACCTGAAAATAAATCCTGTCACATTCAGCAAGTGCAAATACATGTATGTACATGTTTATAATCCAACTACATTGTACATGTACATGTATGTACACGTACATGTATGTTATCCATTTGTATTTATGCATTCACTGTTCATCATACATATATAGCTGTAGATTTATTCACTCTTTGCGCCTTGAAATGTACATGTATACTTAATGATTTAATTTTTTTTTTCTTACACAGGTTGACCACAAGGTTGTTAAAACAGAGACTGACATTCTTCTCAAACTCAAGCACCCAAATATTGTAAGTAACACTGGAATAAACTGAACTTTCACTGCATTATAAAGGTATATTGTTTGCTTTGGAGTATGGCTCATTTACCATAAGTGTTTTATAGGCCTACATAATACTCAAAATGGCGTACCTCTACTTAGTGGCAAAGCAACTTACTGAAGGTTTTATTGCACCGGTGAGAAAAAAATGCATGAGACCAATTTTTTCATCAGCAGGGGGATACAGTTTCCCTGTCTTTCAAGCAAATCATCTTTCCTTGATTTTAATCAGTCTTCACCATGCAGTGAGATACATGTATGTTTGAATTCTGAGAGAATCATCTTTGACCACTTGCTTTTTCTGACAAAACTTGTTCGGATAGAAAACGCAGGCAGAATTTCACCCGTGCCTGCATGGCCACTGAATTGCGACTGTAGTTGTTTAAAATTCAAAGGCAGAAGTCATTCACAAGCCAAACCGATCCACTGGGAATCCCAGCCTAGATTATTTTCCATTCTGCCCAAGGCTGATTTTTTTCTTATCCTGGTACATGTGCATCTACTGTACATGTACTGAACTGTAGCTATGTGTTTTTGAATTCTCCTCATTTTTTTTTAATTCAAATATTCTTTTTCTTAATATACTGCGTATTTTTAAATAGAACAATTGCAAAGTAGTATTCATTTGAAAATTGAAATATTATGGAGGTAGTAATTTTGATGGTTTTGTAATAAATTCGGCTTTTTAATGTCCGTGTGAATATAAGTCCCTCTTCAGCATTTTCACGTGGTGCATGGGAAGAAATCATCATTCATTGATATCACACACATGTACAGTCAGAGCTTTCATGTAATCCGAGAAGGTGCAGTGAGTGCAGTGGCGCGGGAAAGATTGGAAAGTCAATAGAAATGTGTTGGCATTGCAGCAGGAAGCAGGAAAGCTGAAAGCCGCAAGAAGTCTCCCTCCCACATGATAATGTGAAGGGCAGAGCATGATGAGACTCCTGTCAAACTATGAAGCTCCACGGTCCAATGGGCGGGAGCAGCTAAATATATGTACTGCAGTGTGGGAAATTAAATTGGGTGCAAATTGTATCGCAGAGTTCTCTGTGTACATTCAGTTATGTGTAAGTACAAGTACATTACTGCTAGTAATTCTTGTCATGATTTGTAATGGTGGAGACGTGCAAAATCTCCAAAAACAACTGTACTCAATGGTTTTACCCAGCAAAGTGTGGTTCCTGCAGACTTTTTAATAAAGTAATCAGAGAACTTCCAGGGAATTATTGTTAGAAAACAAGCCTCTTAGCATTTTTGTGGTTTGTTATTTCACAGGAAAAACCAGCTTTAACATTTCTTTTCTTCTTTTTAATTATTTGTATGCCCAGGGCAAGTGGCATTGTGGTAGAAATGCCTGCATTTAGCCCTCTTATAAGAAGAAAAAGACTGGTTGACGACATCTATTAAACCATTCAATTTAAAATACATATAATTGAGCTAATCTATATACAATGTCTGAGCAGTAATTTTATGAGCAATCACCAACATGTACATTGTAAGCGTAAGCATGAACAGTTGGTTCTGGCTGCTATTTTTTTTCTCTTGTTTTCCCCCATGGCCAATTAGATCAGACTCAAGGAGATCTTTGAGACAGAGGAGAAGCTGTTTCTGGTGTTGGAGCTTGTGACGGGCGGAGAGTTGTTTGATCGCATTGTTACCCAGGGATACTACTGTGAGAAAGATGCAGCCAATGTTGTCAGACAGCTGTGTAGTGCTGTGAAGGTACGTGTCTACCGATTCATGATTCGATCACCAACAGTCCTGCACAGAAAGCCCCTCTTAAGTTTTTGTTCTATCATTTCATGTATCAAGTCACATACCCGTACACCAAACTGTTTCACAAATTTTATACCTGAATCAAATATGTGTACATCCATAGTTACACCACGAAAGAGTAATTGAAAGAAACATCAAGATTTCAGGAATCGAATGTCAAAATTCTAATAGAAATTTTGACTGCATACATGTGTGCATATATTCTATTATGATTCAACCGTGAATAATAATGTCATGTTATGCTGCTGCCATTGTCCCTTAAAATCAGTGGAAGATAAGAATGGATCATATTTTGAATATCTACGGTAAGTATGATCCATAGGGGGATCAGTTCACATTGTTCGTCCAATATGCACAAAGTTTCTGTTTTGCCTGAAGGATCTCCTGATGTTCATGTAGGAAACAGAATTTTATTTGTCGTGTTGATATCGCATGTCCCGTGAATTATTTTTATGCTCACACTTGGTGCCATTTTTCAATGTCCTTTTCCAGTACCTCCACGAAAACGGAATAGTCCACAGAGATTTGAAGCCAGAGAACTTGCTGTATGCAGACAACAGTGAGAATGCGTCCCTCAAGTTGGCCGATTTTGGCCTCGCAAAAATGCTGCACAAAGACGTCCAGATGCAGACCGTTTGTGGAACACCGGGTTACTGTGGTAAATTCCTTGAAGCTTAGCTTAGGGTTTTACAACAAACCAGCCAGCCACAGACATTATTCAAGCTGGTGGTTTTAAAATGAGTCTTTAATTTCACTTCTACTCAGTTTCCTGTAAAGAGCTATTGTTTTTTTTCTGTCATGCACCTGTTCATAAGTAGGCGGTAAGCGTACACCACTTCTTTCCCTTGACAGTTATCTTCATGTACATTGTGTTCATGCATGCCACAAGTACAAAGTCATGTAAACAAAGGAATGGCAAACAGATAAAAGCAATACTGTTTGACTTTTGTCAGAGCTTCTGCCTTAGGGTAATTCCGTAGTCTCTGGATTATTTTCATGCCTGACTATATTAAACATGTACATGTATCATTTGCAAGCCTTTGTTAGACTTTAGTGTATGTACATGTACATGTAGTTACTGCAATTACTGAGCAGAATGGTAATTTAACATATTGAAGCCACATGTGTTGAAGATCAGTTGATAGCATCTCTGATTAGGAAAGGAGATCTGTATGGTTCACCGACATTGTTGATTATAACACTGCTGAGATTACATGTTCTTCTCCCTGCCACCAACAGCCATACAGCATTAATTTGCCTATTACTCAAGCTTAGAGGGCTCTTCTCAACTATGCTTTAGCGTGTTTATTCATAACTCTTGACAAAACATCCCCCCCAAAAAAATGAAGACAGAGGAAATGATAGCCCATTCACTTTAATAATGCCGAATGTTGACATTTGCTTCGCCTGCCTGGAAATTAATTTTCACAGCTCCAGAAGTGCTACTAGGCCGGCCCTACAGCCCCGCCGTTGATATGTGGAGTGTTGGGGTCATCACCTACATTCTACTGTGCGGTTTTGAGCCCTTCTATGACGAGAAAGGCGATCGTTACGTGTACAAGAAAATCCTCAAGGCAGAGTACGAGTTTATGTCGCCGTGGTGGGACAATGTCTCCCAAAGTGCAAAGGTAGACTACTCCTAGAAATTAAGCCTCTGGCTATAAAATCAGAATTTTAAAGGCTTGGCTTGTCAAAGCATTTTTTTTTCTTCTATAAAGGTGAAAGCTGGATGCTGAAGTAAAATCTTTCTGGTTCTTTTACTTTTTCTGGTGAATAATTCTAGAAGGGGGTCCAAAAGTGTAACATGACCTTTTTTATTTGACATGGAAATGTCAGTGGAATTGATTTCAAACTATTACTATTTGTCTGGCAGTTAATTTGCATTAATTAATTATTCTTGGAAATTAGAAAATGTGTTCTGACCTTACAAAATCATATGTCAGATGTGACAGGGACACGAAAAAATGGACCCCTAATTTCTGGAATTACCTAGGTCACATTCAATTGGGTTTTTGAATTTTTTCAAGTTTTATGTACTTGTAGCTTGTTTCTATCAAGTGTTTTAATTTGACTAGACCATTCAAGTTATCACCTTGAGATTTCAGTGATAGGAATTGAGTCTCAACTTTCTCTGGTCAAGGTATGAATCAGTCTGGAGGGCTTGTAAACCTGCTGTGAAGTCCCACAGCATACAAGTTACACATCTATGTTCACAGTAGTGGATGACAGGTCAATTTGAAAACTTGTTCACTTGAACAAGCCCATGGAGGTGACAGTGACTGTTTGACTGCATACACTCCCTTAATTTGAAGCAAATATAGCTCCCTGGCAGGACCTGGAAGTGTTGCAAGAGTCAAATTATGGTGCAGAGTTTTGAACAGATATAGTGCTGTCTCTCAGTAGTCGGTAATTGTTGGATCATGCTGCATGGCATCCTATTAAAAAATGTGGGTGAAAAAAATAGAGGGTCCCTGTCGATGTTTAGGTCATAGGCCTCAAAAGTGACTGCAGTGAATTGCAGTTCTTCTTGTTTAATTGGTTAAAATGTGTTTAACTTCTTTGTTTAGATTTGACCAGTAAATTTTGCCTTTTTCAAAAAATTTTTTCCAGCTCGAAATAGTGCTTGGCTTATATGATGTGCTCATTTTTTTGCCAGAAATAAGCTCACACAGTGTTAGAGTGTGAAGTGGATGCACAGTTTGGTTTCCAGATTATTACATCAACAGATAAATCCAAATTATTGTATCGGGAGATACGTGAATGTAGTTTCACAGCCTCAGACGTATACATGTGCCAAATACATACATGGCATTTGTCCCTTGTACTTTTGTTTGTCTGGTCTTCCTGTCATTTCTTCTGGTCTTCGTGTCATTTCTTTTAGTCTCCTGTAGGGGGATGCATAATGTGACTGCCCAAGCATTTTGCATCCGTCTTTTGATCCGTCTTTTTTGTTGGCATCCACAAATTTCCTGTGCGATTCACATTTGTTTTTGTACGTTGAACTGGTAGTCTGCCCAGCCGCAGCTAAAGATAGAATGCTTAAAGTATTAGATGCCCACGACAGAAGGCAGCAAAGATTCTTTCATTGTTAAACTCTTACGACGAAATTCAATTCCAGCTTCTTCGAGACGCCATCCATCCCCTGGCTCATTTACGGCTCTTCAATGGAGTTGGGTCTCCTGGGAACCAGTTGATTTGTAGGCTATTCTGGGGGAGTTGGAAATAGAATACCATTGCATTGTCATGTGATCTGCTATTCCCTGGGTGTCAATGCTGTGATAATGTTATGTATATGTGGGGGGGGTCTGTGGTCATGCTTAAACTGATGCAGATTCTAAGCTTGCCTAAGAAGTTAAGATGGGTGTAGAATTTGGAATTTACAAATGGACGTGGAAATTTGAATCGATACAACTTGTATGAATTTTGTCTGGTGGTCATCAGCATTATATCATGCTCTGCCCTTGAAAAGAAAATTTGTTACAGGCTGATATCCGAACCATATTTCAAATTTGAAATGGATGTTTACTTCAGAGTCTCCGTGGAATCTTAAATCAATTGGATTTTTAATTTGCTTTAGTAAAAGGCATAACAACAGCTCAATGTTCCCTGTTGTAAAGATTAAACACATGCCAGGGTGCATGATGCAAAGCACGTGTACATGTACATGTACGTACATGTTGTCTCTGTAAAACTTTTAAATGTAATGGTATTGTGAAGTATTTTTGATTAGGGAAGTTACAAATTGAGACTTGAAAGGCATCTATTCTCAGTCCCTCCATAGCTTGTCCTAGCCTGTCCACACCTGTACTCTGGTGATCTGAATTGAGGGACGGTTTCTCTTGATTGGAAATGTTGGAACGAGGCTGTGGGGACAAACATTGTCTCGATACTGAATTTACCCCCAAATAACTATTGTTCAACAATACAAGCGATTTGCAATAGTGCGCCTCTAAGAGTTGGAAACACGTTGACCAATCACGATGCGCAAAATCTGTCAACCCCATTTGGCAAGGGTTGACAGATTTCGCTTGTTGTGATTGGCCAACGCTTTGCTAACTCTTGGAGGCACACTATTGTGAATCACCCATATTGTGTTGTCCCCATAGCTGTGATGCCAGTACATTTGGATAAGTCATCACCCCATTGAGGGAATTTCTTTTGTTAGGAAAGTCAGAGTGAGTGTGGGAGGGGGGGGACAAAAGTGTTTCCTCCTAACATTTTTGGTTCACACAAAATTTGCGTTTCAATACGTGCGAGGTCCCCACACCTGTGGAACTAGTACAGTACATGCGAACTTGTATAGTATATCCATGTCCTAGAATCATACAAAACACCACAAAGGTCATGTTGAGGAAATGAGGTTGGAGGTTGTTGGAGGGCCTAGCTTATATCAGGGGGAACAGGGGGTTAAACTAATTTGTGTGAAGGGAGGCAACCTGCTTTTTGTGCTTGATGTAAATATTTGCATGCAATTAAAATAAAAAGGGGTGAGGCAAAGTGCCTGATGGTGGGCACTTTCCAATGTGTCCCATCTCAGAAGTTACTAAACTGGTTTAGAACAGACTGCAGAGTTTGTTGACATTTTTATTTCCTCCCTTCTGTCAGAGCTTCACCAAGAGCTTTCCAGTCCTTTGAATTCTCAATTTTTTTGCCATCGTTTATTTCCCCCCTCTGTTCAGATTTTCATCGAGAGCTTACTAGTCCTAGACAGGAATAAGAGACTGACTGCTGCACAGGCCTTGGAGCATCCATGGGTCAAGGGCACTGTCAGCAAGGCACCACTACAGTTGGCAGAGAACATCAAGGAATTCAATGCCAAGAGAAAGCTTAAGGTAAGAGAGCTGTTTGGATAATGGGCTGCTGCAGCAACAAATTTGTCCCTCACAGGAAAATTCAGTTCGGCCTCACCTTGAAAACGTACGTGTACATGTAGTGCAGTAGGCACATCATGAGTTGGATTATTAATAGAGTGCCTTAGATCTTGTTGATTGTGTTCTGGGACCACATATGTATTACAATATTGTTGGGAAGAGAAACTTTGTTGAAAGATTCTCAAAAGTGAGTCCCTTAAACTCTTAGCCAGTTTTCCTGACAGCGAAATCTTCCCCATGTACACCATGTATTTCTTGGGGTTTTATTTATGATGTGAATAGTGCATCTGAAATTTAGTGCACTTGAAAAGCATTGTGCTACAGGGAACAGCTGTGGACAAATTTGACTTCTCTCTTGCCTGTACAGTTAACCAAACTGGAGAAGAAAATTTGCAGGCACTAGTTAACTGAAAAATTGGCGCAGGCGTAAACGTAAATCTTGGGAGCCTGTACATGTATTTGTCAATTCATAGCTGCATGTGTGCACAATTGTTGGCCTGTGGCACGGCGTATGGAGCTCAATTTTTCACTAATGTACACGGAAGTAGTTCCTGTAAATTGGTTATTTATTTGATTTTGAGCCCCCCCCTCCTCCTGGTACGTCAAACATCCGATGCCATTACTAGTGCACCGTGGTGTGGCCTGTCATGCTAGACCAAGATCTTATGAGCACCTTTACAAGTTTGCTGCTTTGAGTCCAGTACCAAAGGCGGCGGAACGATGTTCAAAGTGGGAGGGGAAGCAGCCATCACTAGATAGGCCATGAAGCCCCGCCCCATCATAGCACCTGTTAAATGTGCCCTCCCCCACGCCAGTTTGTGTCTTGTGTTTGTGCTGTGTTTGTGTCTAGATAGTAATACAACTTGTCACAATTTATTGCTTCTTCCAGCCCAGAAGTAAATGGATACACATGGGGTCCTATGTATGTATGTTATTGGGCTGTTTGTGTTTGACTCAACTGGACGTACTGCATTGGCAGCCTTCCACAGGAGTGAAGTGGTGATGGGAGTACATGTGCTTATTGGTCAATATTGCTGCGGCACTGTGGCTCCAGTCTTTAAGAAAGGCTTTCCATAAATAGCCATCCTTCTTTGCTTCCACACAGGCCGTAACAAATGCGGTGATAATGATGAAACGGCTCCACACGGGGGAGTGGAAGACGCCCATCAGGCCCAGAGCGGCACCTCCGAGCCCGCCCACTGTGGAAACCGAGCAGAGCGTAGAGGCTCAGCCCATCCAGCAGGCTACACAGGCAGAATGATCTGGCATGCCAACACACACCCACTTCTGATCATCATCTCACAACAGGAGAAGAGGCTGAGTCTTCAACAAGGAGTGCACTGACATCATATAATGCCAACAGGAAAGCCAAAGAAGAGATTATGTTTTTAACAGATCATAAGGCGGTATGATGGAATATACATTTAAAAGTATTGGAAATCAAATCCAGTTGGGTATGTGTTACCATGGCTACATGCTCTTACAGTTTTCCGTGCCCCAAAATAACATTGTAAAATCCGTCGCTGATATGTGTAATTTTAGAGGGGGCATTTACTGAGATTTTAAGTTACAGCTAGTACCCAGGTTCTTGTCTTCCTGTGGGGTTTGAGATGTGTCAACAGTTTTGAGTGAAGTTACAAATTGACGGTATATGCCAGCCTCACATGTGGACCTGTCATCAAAAGAAGTCCATATGATGTAGATTGTGCAAACAGTGTGTGGACTAAGCCAGGTCCACATAATTCCCCCCCCCCCCCGCTGGAAACAGTTTAGGGGCATATCTGGGTTAGGTCTATTCAAAAGCAAAAGGAACGATGAAGGAAACCAATGACGAGAATCAGCTTAAAGAGCAGTCAAGTGCACCAAAAAGCAGTATTTTCACTGAGCATTCTGAAGTATGTATTCAAAAACAAAGGAATGTCAACGCTAGGTTGGGAATATAAACGTGTGTCTGTGATGAAGACGGAAAAGAGAGGTACATGTATTTGAGTGTCTTGAGAATTGGCGCATAGGAAGGTACCAAATCAAGTGCAGTCTGAATATGTTACTCAAACACAGATAAGGACTACTTTTTTCTTAACTTGTAATTTTGTTCCAAGCAATGAGTGGGGTCTGGTTCTTTCATTTTTAGTTTGTCTAGATGATGATCTCATTGAAATAAAAATTTTTAAAAATGTTTCAAAACATCAAATGCACATTTTTAGCAGTAAAATATCTCATTTGAAAAAAGTGTACACAAAATTAAATGTGGTTCTTCAACTTTTTTTGAGAAGTGTTTAGTTAGATTCGAATGTGCACATTTTAGAGAAGGTTGAAGTCTCTGTAATGCATTGTACAGTTCAGTTTGTTAAAACACGGACCTTGGAGGGTCCGTGGTTAAAATGACATGCACAAAGCACAGTAATGGTCACAATACCACAGCACACTCATTGATTACATTGTCATGGATATAAAATTGGAAATATTGTGGCATTGTGAAGTTTTGTATTCATAAATTGCTTTGTTACAGATACGAAATCTTCTGTTTGTATAAAGGGCGTGTATGCCAAGAAATTAAAGCTGATGGGCATATCATTAACGATTCTTGTCTTTAAAAAACTATTTGGGAGATAGTCTTAGTTCCCAGATGCCCTTTCTTGGTCTTTGCTGACCGTGCCGTGATTCACTGGAAAAGTCCCCCTCTTTGCGGCCCTGACTTGCATGAACAGAGTGCCCACTTTGATGAATCATATTGTACAGTCCAGTGACTTTGTGTGCGCTTAAACATGGCACAGTAAAGGACGTCTTGGAACCAAGCCTACTGAGCTAGAGCAGAGGGGGGTTTTGTTGCCAAGCATAGCCTAATTAACCATTCAAAATACCATGCCTTTTATCGTCAAGGTGTAGCTGGCCAGAGTGTGTTTGGCATTGGTTACAGTAATCTTTGGACCACTTCCAACATATTGGAAACTGAAAGAAAACATCAACTAAGTGCTCATTCAGTGTGGATGAGAATTGATGGTTTTCCTTATGATTGAGAGTTAAACCAGCATGAAGACATATTTAAATAATCTACATGTAGTTAATTATTTTATGTACATGTAGTAGAGTAGTTTTTAAAGAGATGAAATTACACATGTTTAATTCAGTACAAATTCTTTAATTACGTGTAGGTCATGCATGTGACTTAACATCTGTAAAAAGCATTTTTTAATGACACCTTTTTGTATACGTGTTCAGATTTTAAAATGATGCCATATATGTGTAAAGATTTTAATAAAACAATGTGAATTATTTTTTACCGGATCTGACTTAACGGCTGATTTTTTTTTAATACAAGAGAATTATTGTTCAAGAACAGCTTTTGGAAAACACTTGTTAATATTGGTGATGATGGTAATAATTTGTTGCCCAATTTTGTAAATAATCACTAGATGTATAGTTTTCATAATGCATGTATTGTGAAAAGCAATTCTATCGTGAAGAGGGAAATTTGGTACTGTAAAACTGTTTAATCAGACTTTAAAAATAGTAACAGGAAACTTTAAATTTCTACTTACACAGTAGGATGTATGTGGTACATGTGTACATGTCTTTTTTAACAGCTGAATGTGAGGAACAGTGTGGAATACGTATGCATGCATTCAACAACATATAGGTATTTAAGCACCATATTTGGGAAAAACTTTTGGGATACATGTAAATGCCAGCTTTGCATTACTAATATGAAGAGGCTTTCCTGTTTACAATAGGGTAAAAGTAGTTTGTGTTTTAGTTGAATGACAGAAAATTTCACTAAAGTTAGATTCAAACAGTTGAAGTGTAGTGTCAGCTTCTTGCCGTCTCAATCCAGCCATTCTTTTCTGTTCTGTTACCCATGTGGTTCGTTTGATGATAGCTTCCTCCCCCCCCCCCGCGCTTTCTTACTACACAGAAACTGAATTGTCCAATTATATATTACAAAATAGTTTGGGTAAAAGTACCCCTCCCCAGTAGCTTAACTACCAAAATTTCTGAGGCAGACCTGTTGGTGCACACATTTTTTAGGGGGTCGCTTAACCCTAAAAAAAAGGGGGGGGGGAATCCAGCCCCCAACAGTTTTTCTGATTTTCCCGCAGTGCATTTTTACCAGGAGCTGAACCTTTAAAAGAGTTTTAGAGTAACTCACTGTGTTCTTTTTGTCACCACTTTTCTGAAAATTAATCCTACCATTCTTGTGCAGTGCCAATTTTTCCGAGACTGCGTCAGCAAAAACTGTATACTGTTTCTCTGGTACGCGTTCAGGCTTGAACTTCAAATGATCATAATGTAACTGATTATGTGATTGGCATCAAACTTCACACTTGTAATAAGGAGAGTGTGTACATGCACTTGCCTGCCAAGTTGAAACAAATCGACCAAGGCACAGCCAAGTTCGGGGGGGGGGCAGTATCCACCCCCACCCGGCTGTGAGGGGGGCCAAAATAACCTAGCTCTTAGGTCGTATTTCAAAATTATGAATGGGGAGACACTCTCCTCTTCTTCCCCCCCCCAAGAAAAAGATAAACGAAGCTACAAGAGAAATTAGTTTCACAGTTTTTAATTTTCCTTGGCAAGTTTATTTTTACAAAGCTGAAATGATTAATGTTTCTTGAAATTGGTTGTCAGTTCACTCCTTTATCAAATACATGTAATTATGTGCAAAAAATTACCTTCAAGTACTGTAGAAATAGATAAAACCATCAAATTTTACAGAATTTTCAAGTAAAACTAAAATACCTGTTTTTTTTTTCATTCTATCACCTTTACTGTCAAAATGTCACCAAAGCTGATAAAACTTGAAATGTCTACAAATTTTGTAAATGTATTGATGCATGTACAGGGATGTTGTTTTCACAGCACACAGAGTAAGTCTCACTGTTTGTAAGTACTGTAGCAGAGACTAAAATTGCAACTTACATGAATTTGATCTGTAAATAGTTTGACTTGGCAAAAATGTAACTGTCAATCTCCTTCATTCCAAGAAAAGTTGATGTAAAATTGGTAGTTTGTATTTAATTGATTCATGATTTAAATTGAAATCAGTCTCCACCAAGCACTAATGATTTTTTTTTGCACCCTTTTGGCTTTCTCAACCTGTCGTTAATCTGTAGCTGAACTAGAAATGGAATCAAGTATTGGAAAAAATGGACAGTCATTGCTTGACTTATAATCTTTATGCATTGATTTTCAAGGGCAATCATGACTATTTAATCCACATACTTTACTGATATCAAAATTTAATGTCACTCAACTACGTCTACATGAAGTTCTCATGAAGAATGCAGCGAATAATTTCAGTAGATGTGAAATTCTTGAACAGCTACAAGCGTGCAGTGGCCGTACAGCTGCCATGACAGATTGGCTCTTCAGTGGTAATGCTCTGAATGTGTGAGCCAGGGTCGGCAATCTGAATGTGTGAGCCAGGGTAGGCATAAGACCCAAACTAGCGTCAAACTTCTTACACGCATGTCATGAACTGCAGCCCTTTTTAGTTTGGCAAATTTTTCACCATTTGGAGTTTAAGTGAATGGAAAAGTGTGACGGTGAATTGACTGAGACTTGCCTCCTGAAGCTGCAACCAAGCTCAACTTTCTCTAACTTTATCCCTGAAAAGGCCAATCCTTTTCCTCCTCCATTATTGATTGTTCAATCTACTAAAAGGATTTTGATATGAAATGCTTAATGAATATGCCCAGTGTCACAATGCAACAAGGCCCCCATGATTTCCCCAGGAACGTACATCAAATTTTTATAAAATTGATGCCAAATGACAGCCGGGCTGCACAAAACTTTAATAAAAGGCTCAAAGGAAAAAATAAGATAACCTGTGAACAAAACCAGGTGTATGGTGCATAGGTACTGTGCATGTACATCTATGCTCTAGACATAACCCTTGACCCCAGATCAGGTGGCCTTATGAAGGAAGGAAAAGTTACACAGAAGGGTACATGCAATAGATGCAATTTCCCCTTGAGTCGTGCTTTACTCTTGCATACGACCAGTCCGTACAAAGAGTTGAGCCAACTACCAACTTGTCAGTCCCAGTGAACCCTTGTTGAAATGTATGTTATTTTTCCATTTTATCCACTATCGGTGTGCATACATAAATACATGTACATGTAGTCTAATGAAGACTTGTCATCCATTAATTTTAGAAGCCAACAATAGATACAATGTACATTTAGGAAGATTGCCAATTAACTATTCTTGACAATGAAGGTAAGAAAAATGGTCAAAAGACCGCTACCAATTCATGAGTTTGGATATTGTGTTGATCTCAATAGCAATATCATGGTGGAGTCCATCAAAAGTCCATTAAGAGTCATTCAGTCTTATGCCACAAGCTAAGTCACAAGCTACATGTACATTCTGAATTCAAATGAAATGGAACAAAGGCATTCCTTTGTTCACCCTTCGATCTGTATGTACATGTATGACTGGTCTTATGAAAGGACTTGAGATTGGATGACCCCAACACTGCTCAATGGCTACGAAGCTTAATTATTTGCCAATGTAATATTGGCTTTAGCTTACAGGTGTGTGGCAGTAGCTTGCCATCAAGGAACTCCATTGGTTCATTGTTCAAACTCTGTACATTATAATTAATTACCTGTACCCACAAACACTCCAAAACCTTTTTCTAAATTTTGCCTCTTGCATCCCTGTTATCCATGCACATGTGCACTGGGCTGCTTTAACATACTTTGTGTAGTAGATCTTTGAAAGACAAATTAATCCAGTATTATTTTTAAATGTGAACAAACATACGCATTGTACTAAAAGTAAAAAGGTTTTCTGAAAAAAAAAATCCTGTCAATTGAAAATAAATAGAAAATGAGAGATGTCACAGCTGTCATGAAATCTGACGTTATTTTGTCTCTCTGTCTTCCAGAACCAAAATTGTTGCATCACACACTTTAATTTTGGCGATTCACAATAGTGCGCCACCAAGAGATTGCAGTGCGTTGGCCAATCATAATGCGCGAAATTTGTCAACCCTTTCCAAACGCGCATTGGGTTGACAGATTTCACACATTGTGATTGGCCAACGCATTGCAAACTCTTGGTGGCGCACTGTTGTGAAACGGCCGTATTGTTGAGTCTGTCCCAAGCCCATCACAAGTCACCCAGTCACAGCCTACTCAAGTGAAATGTGATAAAAGCATTCCTTTGTTGTTCACAGCATCTCAACTGGTCTCAAGTGAGACAAGACTTGTGACTGGCCTTGTGAGTGACTCTACAGCACTGTGTAGTGTGTACACAATAATTGTCGTTTCTTATACAATCGGGACGTATATGTACAAGGAGTCTTTGTTTAAACAACAAAAAAATAATACAAGTGCGTACATGTACCCATGAATCTCACGAGTTGAAAAGTACAGCCAATTGTTGGCAGACACTGTAAAATTCCATATATTGGACTTTTAACACAGATCTGGTTGTCATCAGAAGACCTCCTTGCTCTTTTCATTTTGATGACATGGTGGGTCTGTAATTCATTTCCATTAAAATTGTACGGTACATGTGAATTCAAAAACATTCAACAGTGTAACACATGTCCGTTCTCACAACGGACCATCATCAAAGTCACAATTTTCTTTAACAGAAATTGATGCATGTGAAAACATGCACAGTGGAGACTCACCCCTCTACACTTGAGGTATCTATACGTTTTTAAAATGATGTGACCTGACGCGTTGAGCCAAGCACTTGCATAATTCAGGGTACAATGAACACGTACTTTCTTTGCCTTTTCCAAAGCACATTTATGTGAATACGGATATTCAATGTCTACATTACATTTTACATAATTCATGTGTCTGCAAGCACACATTGCAAACATGTTTACAATGGAAGGTTTTATTGACAAAGGTCATTCATGTACAGCAAAAGCAGTCTACTTTTGAGATATTCCAGCAACAAAGCCTCTTACACCACTGAAAACAGTCATTTCTTTGTTTTTGATAATTTTTTCTCTCTCTCGTTTTTGTAACTCCCAAGAACCTCCGTTTTCCACACAGCTTTCTTCCTTTGCAAATGCTCTGCCCGTTTTGACAGTGGGCGCATTGCGCAATCCTTCGAGTGTTCGCCTGACTTATCCTTGTCCCAACTGGTGCTGCCATCCGACTGACAGCTGCTACTGTCGCTATCAAGAGACTTGCGAAAGCTTCGCTTCTTTTTGACTGCCAAAGCCTTTTTAGGTCTCAGCCTCCGCTGCCGATAATTGCAGATCAGCTCTTCATGGGACGGTTGGTCTGCCTGAAAGTTTTCCAACGGTGAAATGTTCCCTTCTGGATCGAGTGCCCCATCGTCGCTGGAACTACTGGTAGCAATGAATGAATCATCCTCACTCTCTGTCCCGTCACTGGACTCATGTGATTCATCAGCGGTATTCGCATCGCCTCTGAACTTGTTCGCTTCATCCAAAGGTTCCACTTTGAAGGCAACATTTTCACCTTCTATATCGTATTCTCTGTCTTCAGGGTCAGCTTTGATTGCTAAGTTCCCTCCTTTGTGTTCATCCTGGAGTTCTGCTTTGATGGCACTAGTCTCAACTTCTGTGCCATTTCGTTCATTGTCACCAGACTCGACTTTGACAGACACACTTCCAGAGAGATCTAGGGTAAATGCTCCAGGCTGGTCCTTGTCATCGTCAGAAGACTCTTCACACTGAATTGAGGCTCTTCCACGCCATTTCTTTCTCGGAGCAGTCAATGGCAGATCATCCCCACTGCTGTTGTCCGGATCATCTGATCCGGACAACAGTTCTGCAAGTGGTCTTGGCTTGCGCATCTTCAAGGGGCTGGCCAACTCCTCACTGTCGCTTCCATTTCTCCCTGAGGAGGTTTTCCGTTTGCTCTTTGCCTTACGAGGATTTCTGGCAGTCGCCTGGACGGGCTCATCATCATCGTCATCACTGCTGCTGTGAGATGGAGACTCTGACCATGGACTGCCCTCTTGGGTTGAGTCGTCACTGCTGGAAGTGTTGTCATTGATGAATTCTTCATCAGAAAACTCGTCAAACTGGTCAATTCTGTCTGGATTGTTGTAGGTATTTCTCCTACATACATGTAGGTGGGTGGGGTAGGGGGTGAACACGGTGAAAGGAAGAAGATACACATGTAATTAGTTCAAATAAATGAACAGGTTGACAGAAGGCAAAAGAAAGTACATGTAAAAATAGTGGGCTACAAAACCCCTTTTTAATTATTGTGAGATGGTTTAAACATCACAGAATCACTGTAGAAAAGATACCAAAATTAAGGGTCACTTGTTAATACACACATATATAAATCCAACATGTAAGGAGACAGATTTGAAAAGGATCTTAAAACTGTTAAACCCTAGAAAGAGCTGCGCAGTTGTGATGAGAATCAGAGGTGTTATGTTATCTCAACGTCTCAAATCTGGGAAAAATTATCACATGATCAGATGTATTTCCAATTCTTCATCATCATCAACATCATATTGGCTGCAGTTAGGCTCCCATTGACTGCCCTATACCCTCCAGTCCTCTGCAAGGGTGGCAAGATTGCCAGTTTGCTCCACTCCAGTGTCTGTCTACTTGGTGAGCCCTAACTTCAGAGCAATACTGACAGTGCCCTGCCAGTTGCACGGATCCCGTGTGTTGCAATAAGGTCACAGATGTTTGAACTTATTTTCCACTGGGTACCCTCTCTCCTGCCGAAAAGTCTGTTAAGTTTCTCTTCCCACACCGGTACTTTCCTACACGTAGAATGTACTTGCCTCTAAACAAGCTGGATATCATTTATCAATAGGTTCACAGGTGCACTATGTACTCCATGTAGTATATTAACCCTAACAGCCCTGAATCTTCCAATTTTAATATCATTTTGCACACACCCTAGGGAGTTAGGGTTAAACCCTGTCTCAGTGTGGCCTTTACATCCCATGATATGGATGACTTACTCTTTGATAAAGTTATTGATCAGTTTTCGTGGCTTGTAGTCTCTGTAATTCTTGAAGGGTGTCTCGTCGGGGACCACACTGTCCAGGGCTTCTCTGCGAGTGGGCAGGGTGAACCTCCGCTGGGACTTCTCTCTCAGTCGGCTGGAGCTCCGAAGAGTCTGGTCAGCTGCCACCCGGGGCGAGCTGGGAGAACACTTTGGAGGGAAGAAAAGAGATCTTGATACTAAAAAGTATCACACAAGCAGGAGGATTTCTAGTCTCATGCAACACACTTTGTGCGATGCACTTACTTCGGGCTGGCATAGACATAAAAAATAAAGGAAACATGGAATAGACCTATGACATAATAATGCCATGATTTGTTCACATGGGCACTTTCCTACATGTACATGTATGGCGAAGAGATGGGACTCATCCACCGAGCCCCCACAGACATTATGTTCCAGTGTCTACTGACAATCCATTATAGTTGGAACCCGCTCATCCCCAACTGCTGTGCGCGTTTGTCCACTGCAATTTAAAATGGCATCCATTTATACAATGTAGCTGTTTTATCTAATTTTTTTATTTATTTAATTTATGAACCAAATTTATCAAAATTAAGAAAATTTTCATTTGAAAATACGCATTTTACAATGGTTCTGGGCTGAAAATGGATTTGCTGCTCCCGTGGTCAGGGTGGTTACTTTCTGAAAACCGATCCAGAACAAGGAAAAGTGTCGCCACTTTTGTAGATCCTGTAGTGTACGTCCAAGTTTAAAATCTGAAATTAATTTGGTAGCATCTCTAGCACACATGGTGGATCACTGGATGGTGACCACATTTCACTAGAATTTGAGGATTTTTTGACTGAATAATTTTCCCGATCTGGAATTGGGTAGACGACTGTAATATTATGTGTAAAGATCTCACTGGTCGAGTTGCCTCTCTGTCAAAGTCGAGTTGTCAAACGGGCGACTTGATTAACGGTTGAGTTGTCTCAACGGTCGAGTTGTCCGACATTGGCCCAGAGGACACGGAAGAGTATATGTCGGGCTCTGTTTACGGGTCTAAGCTAGTACAGTAGTAAATACTTGGCTGGATACCTTCAAAGTGAATATTAATTATTACCTGTAAATCAGTCATGACCTGGGATTTGGCAAATTCTTTCAAAGGCTTCAGTCAGTCAAAAGAAAAAAACACTACTTCGTTTACATTGTACATGCACCTAACCGCCAGCACGGTCAGCAGGTAAGAGTATCCCGCGCGCGCGCGGAATTGTCGTTGCGTTTATGGTCTTGTTATGGCGCCCTCTGTAGATTCTGTGTGGACGTTTGATTTTAATCTGGTTCTCCTTTTCAAAACCGTACGAAGTATTCTGTGCGAGACAGGAAACAAGTCATAATTCTAATATCACGAGCATTGTTGAAAAAAAACCACAATTCGGAAACGGGGCCAAATTACACAAAAAGGTCCTTATTATTTCTCATAAGTTGTGGTTTGTTGCAAAAACTTACAGGATGTCGTTGGTAAATTACAATTCAAGTAGTGATGACGAAACTTCAAATGCTGAAGAGGAAACAGAAGAACAATCTAACGTAGGAAAGCGTGCCGAAGAAGCCTCCAGCTCCACCTTGATGAACTTGTCTGATCTTGAAGAAGACCCAAGATCGAAGTCGTCACTGTTTTCAAGTTTACCAGCTCCAAAATTATTGGATATACATCAACCAGGTACGGTTGTCATGGTTGTAAATGTTACGCCCCAACTATAGCATAAGTCCCAACTATAGTTGGGCCCGTCCCAAAATTAGAGTGCTACAGAATACAGTTGGGCTGGCCCAACTACAGCAAAGAGGTCCTGTGTGCATGATGTGCCCAGCATGTGCTAAAGTCATATTGTTTACAAATATGTCATGGGTCAAAGGGCTAGATGAACAGATGAAGTGCCACATTTTAGATGAATTGTGTCAAGTGTGAGACACATTGACTTGGATAATGTTGAGACATTTGCCACAGACTCTCTGCTGTAGTTGGACCAGCCCAACTGCAGCACTACAGTTGGGACTGTCCCAACTATAGTCGGGACTTATGCTACACTTGGGGCGTAACATAAATATCCATTCAGAGTGTCAATGTGACACTGTAGTGAAAGATGTTAAAGTAAAGATTACTTTATCATGTTTATACATCATTCATGCTTACATGCCGTGCTAGTCATCCCATGCTTGACAATCAATATCAATCGTTGTCAATTATTGCCTGATCATACAGTGAGCCACTACTCTGTGTACATGGAGTAGGCCAATTCCATGAGTGCCTCACAGTGATGACAGTTCTGGGAGTAAGCTGATCATGTCAGTAACAGTAGGGACCTATCCATGTACATGAAGGTCCGTGGGCCAAGCTTTAGTTTAGGCCTTAGCTGGACCAAGAGAGGGTACTATTTTCTAAGCATTGATAGGCCTACCAGCAAAATGAACACTCCCAACCAACACGGCTCTTTTCACCCAATGAACATGATGAAGGGGTGCTTCTGCTCGAGGTGGATAGGCAGCTCTTTTTGCACGGGTCATGCTATTTAAAATAAGAACTTTGTTTCAAATTCGACAAGAATGGTAAGAATTCTCTCTATTCAAAAAAATAAGCAGCTGCAACATTTTAGTATTGACAAATAATGCAAGCATTTTCATGCATAAGCAGTGTGGTCACAATATTGAATTAGGCTCCTGAATAGGAGTCCAGACAACTGGACCATTCCCAACTTGACTTAGGTCAACTCCACCATTGAGACAAGTTGTCCATTAGACAAGTTTCCACTCAGCCAAGTCATCTGTCGACACGTGTCAAATGCGTCAAATTCACACTGTTTAGTACTTGCTTTATACAAAGCCTACAGTGCCCTACACACTTTTGAAACTTCATGCATTGTCATGTTAATAGTCCAAGATGAAAACCAAGCTGGCATCCGGAAATTGGGCAGATGTTGGGCCAAGCAGATGACTCAGCAAATGGTCGAGTTGTCCCACCGATCGAGTTGTCACAACAGTCAAGTTGTCCAAATTCGAATTGGCAAACGGTTGAGTCATCCGACCTCACCTGAATGGGCCTAATACATGTACATTCTGTTTACTACATTGATTTAAACATATCTTAAGATTTTTAAATGTGAAATATTTAGCCTAGTGACGTGTGACAAAGTACAAAAATAGTGGTGCCAGTCATACTACCCAACTGGCTGCTACCATATTTTTCTGACGGATTGAGGGGAAAAAAAGATGATTTTTTTATTTTTCATTTTCCTGCCGGATGGTGAATGTGACTTCGTTCACAACCAAAAAGTGTACAATGTAACAGTGTAATACACCAGGTTTGGGCACTTGTTTGTTGAGGCGGACTGTGTGTGTTGACATTAACAGCATGACCAGTTTTGTTTCATTTAATTTTCAACTTCTTACAGCTAAAGTACCACTCAGAATTACCATCATAGCCGGGGCAGTCTTTGCTTCTTAAATGTGTTAAATTGGCATTAGCTTGGAAAGCCCAGCTCAGGCTACGGCTCATAACAAAAAGATCCTTCTGAGCACTTACAAGTATGGACGATTAATTCAAAGGTTCCTTTTCACGTAGAAGAGACAGACGACATTCAGTTCCCTGCAACAGCATCAACCACTTCTTCATCTTCATCATCTACTGGCAGATCACTCAACCTTCCGGCACCAAAGAAGAAGTCAGCTCAGCCCATAAAGATCACTGCACCATCACTTCCAGAGGTCCGTTGGTATCAAACTTGTAAAACAGTGGTGATATTTACTCATATTAGCTGGCCATCAGGACAAAATACTTCTCATTTCAGTTAGGAGCTGATGAAGCAAAGCATGCAGTGGTTTGCTTTAATAGTGACAATAACAAGTTTTTATATAGCGCTTTTAACTGAGATCAAAGCACTTTCCATTATTATTACCCCTGCTCGCTGGGCCCATGAAACATTTCAACTCCCACCTCAGCTCCCTAGAGAGTATACACATGACGCAGTCATTTCGGTGCAAGGCACAATAACCATCTCTGCCCTCACAGGTACATTTGCCCAGTTGCTTCTGGGTGGAGAGAGCAATGAGTGACAAAATGCCTTGCCCAAGGGCACATTCAACTTGACCCCAGACTGGATTCGAACCCGCAGCTTTACCCGCCGAGTACAAATCCAGTGCTCTTAACCACGAGGTCACGGCATTCCACATTTTCAAATCTTCAACCAGGTTAAGTGATCCCAAGCTGACAGCTAATCTGAAATCCTTGTGCATTCTAATAGCTGTGGTTTTAAGTGGCTGATCAGATTTTTTTATTTTATTTATGTATTTTTGGACATTTTAGACACATTCAGATGATGATGAGGAGGAACCATTGGCCAAGAAAGCCAGACCAGCAAAGGTAAGTTTGCCAGGCACATCTTTGATGTTTTGGTTGCTGTAGCTAGATTTAATTGTTTAAAACCAGGATTTTGAAATGAGCTTTTGCTAGAGATTCCAGTGCTCTAGCAAGCGACTTAAAAGCCTTAGCGGTTACTTCCACCTCATCAAATTAACCACAGTTGCAATTTGTTACCTTCAGTTCAGTCAAATTTTCAACTGCGAAAAGAAAAGTGACTGAAGCTGGATTCAAACCGACATGTGTGCTCTCTGGAACACTGCATTACGTGTAGCTCTGTAACAGCCAGGAGCCATACGTTGGCTGCATTACAACTTGCTGATACCCAGCACACCTGGAACAAACACACACTGACAAATCGGGAGACTGCGGAGACAAAACGGGGAGGGGGGAATCCATCTCTTGAATTGGAGGTTCGAACCCTGCTTCATTTCCTTACACCTTACAGTTGAGACTCCAATTCAGGTAGCATGTCAGAATAAGCTGTATATAACTAGCTATGCTAGTTAACCCTAACAGTCCCAAATCCTCCAATTTCAATACGATTTTACATACATGTACATGTACACTCTTGGGGGTAGGGTTAATTACTATCACGGGCAGGTCATGTCTGATTATTGTGTTTTCCTTCATACATGTCTCACAAGTGTTTTCTGAAGTGATATATTGTTTGACTTGTCATTCTGATGAGTATCAGAAAGAATCTTTGATGCAGTGACACAACAGGTGTTCAGCATATATATTCGTCATGCTTTGGGCATCGTACGTCGTATACATGCTTTGGACAATGTTTTGTGTTAATATGCCTGATCTATGTTGAAGGTTACTTAACAGCAGTACGTAAAAAGAAGTACGTATATTTATCCGGGCCTTTCCAAAAGTAGATTTCTTTGCAGTAGATTTCTTTGCAGTGGTATACTGTACATGTACAGCTTGCTAATGACAGGAATTGTTTGATGGCTAAGAGAGGCCATTTCAGAATGCAGTCTCAGATAATCCATTCATAATCCTGTTATTTATTGGGTCCGTGAATGATGACTGGCCTCTCGATACAGGAGAGCCAATTTTCTTGATAAGCCAACTTGCCCTTAACAGATTGAACCAGTGGCTGTCAATACTTCATTGAACTGAAATACAGATTTCCTAAGTATCTTCTTGTTCTTGTGGAGAAAAAGAGCCGGCAGTGCCAATATTTCTGACTAGGGCTTCAGGGAGGAAGCTGTGGAGGCGTGGTTTGGCATGGTGAGGATGGAGTTACACATGTCAGATCACAGTCATAGCCTTCCTGCAGCTTAAAAGGACTGCAGAAACTGAAGTAATTCTTTCAACCAGGGAAGGAGAATTCCTCCTTGGCAAATTTGAACCACGGCCAGTGTTGCAGTTGGGACCCCTTAAGACCATCACAAAACCAACACCAGACCTCCGCTCTGAATTCAAGTCACACGCTATTCAAATCGAATGCAACAAAAGCATTCCTTTGTGATCATTCAGCCAGTGACTTGTGTCTGGTCTTGCTGGTCTTGTGGTGGTCCTGACCACACTGACCGAGTGTTATAGCCAGTGGGCAATACCGCCTGGCACTAAACCCTACTCCCTCCTGCTTCCTCCCCTGTTGTAATCCTGGGCTAATGGTCCGGCTACCAGACAGTGACGCTAACAGCCGGACCATTCTCTCCTTACATGTAGACTAAGCACTACCTCGGTCGCCATTCTTTGGGCTCACCGGCCATTAACAGCGTTGCTTCCCACAACATTGGTGGTAATAACCATCTCGCAGGTGGAGGTCGCATGGTAAGTCCCGATGGGTTTGTGCTTTGTGTCAATAGCAGTTTTAATTTACTGTTGTAAATTATTTGACAATTTGAGTTTGTGATTTCTGTGTCGCTAAGTTTTGAGACTGTGAGCTTTAGATTGTTTGTTTTATTTTTGTGTGTGCGAGGACATAAATTTGTAAGCAATTCATATGTATTAGAGGTAAATACTCCTTTGAACTGTGGAATGGTTTTATTTGGAATTTACTCTCTAGGTAGTGCTAACAACGAGTAATCATAAAACTGAACCTAGCCTAAAGGAATCATGATTTTGTACAGATTCTGTACAGATATCTTATGGTGCAAGGGTAACGAATCCAAGCTTAAAAGTCTTACTTTCTACCTTTCTATAAATATTGACAACTCAGTGAGTTGTCTGTTGTTAATGTCAACATCGGCACAATGTCATTGTTTTGTGTTTGTGTTGCGCAGGACTCAAGAAACAGCAGCTCACCAGGTCCAGACCGCAACCTCCTCAGGAAGAAGAAATGCACTGCCAAGGAGAGAGGCGAACACACCATGGAGGAGCTTCTGGAGCTTAGCCGCAGCGCCATGGAGCAGCTGCACCAGAAGCTGGAACTGCAGCGCCACCAGATGGTGCTGCTGTCAGGAGGAGGCTTTGGATTGCATCAGACGAACAGTACTCCCTCGTTTCCAAAAGCAGGTCCTGCTGGTCATACGACGTCGAACGCCACACAGCTCCAGGGCCTGGCTCAGGTATTTCCTCCTGCCCTGGGCTTCCAGGGAAGCCCTGTGCTCAACGCTGCACTGCATCCAGGCCTTGCCTCGTTGATGCAGGCCCCAGGCCTTGACCTGCCAAGGAATGCAGGCCTACTGGGCTCCCAGAGTCTTCCCTTTGCTTCGGCGGTGAATGTTAGTGCAGCAAACCATGACCTGACCAAAAGCTTACTGAGTCCTTTTCCCTTCCCGGCGATAAATCCCGGGGGCATTGCTGGACTGCAGCCATTCCCACTGGGCTCTGCTGTCGGTATTTCCCAACCTCTGGCCCAGCCAGGCTGGGTCCCAAACACCCACCCGCCATCACCTCCGGCCGACTCTGACCACAGTCCTCAGGTGACCCACAAGAACTGTTGTGGTGCTTGCCTCAAGAAGATTGACCTGCTGGAACAGAAAGTCAAGAAGATTTTGGAGCATCTAATCACGAAGGAACTAGCCCAAGGCTCTACATTGCCGCCAGTGCTAGATCCCTTCCCAGCGCCAACTTCATTGGCTTCCCAAAGTCCATCACCACAGGATGGACACACTTTTCTCAACACCAGCCCTTCAGGAGGTTCTTCCTCTGTTCCTTCTTCATCAGCGTTACAAGTAGGCCAAGAAATGCAGAATGCTTTCATGCAGGCTGTCCACCATGAGCAGTCAAGTCCATTTCAGTCATCCACAAAGCCGAGAATCGTGTATCCACAACTAATGACAGATCCACTGATACCAGTGAAAATATCCTCAGCAGCTGAGCACAAATGTCCACCCAAATTAGCAGATCCACCGATAACCACCAATGTTGCTCCAGCTTTTGCAAGCCTCTGTAGTAGCCCCTCGGACTCAAGGAGGTTAACTCCGTCTTCTGTGAATGCGTGTTCAAGCCAGACAAAGGGTCCACTGCTGCTTTCATCAAAGATAACCTTACCCGCTGAGAACAATGATAAGTATGCATATCAGTCTCTGATGCGTTACAGAGGTACCTCAAAACTGTTCAAGATCGATTATGACCAACATGCAGCCCACAAGTCAAACATTCACTTCAACCAGGGCGGTGACTCCTCGCATCTCTCGGTAGAAGATACATGTATGCTGCAGACAGACCACTTTCAGTTTCCATTAGAGATCTATTCAGCTGCTGACTTTCATAGCCTTCCCTCTAAAATACAATATATCTTGAACGTTGTTGAGAGAGACAAACACGGCAAAGCAACCAAACTCGAGGTGAAGCAAGAAATCTTGAATTCTCTCGCACCTTATATCAAGGATCGGAACTCCATATCGCGCCGTCTGGCTGATGTACTGTTCACGGACGATGAGCGTTGCTACTGTAACTGCAGTGGCTGGCGGAAGCCGGCCGCACTGGATCCCATCCGCATGCAGGCGTTGACGGACGCCGTTTTCAAACTGTGCCCCTGCCCAGAGGAGCAGAAAAAGCACCTCTGGCACGAATGCGTCAAGTCGATTGACGCCGCCTCTAGGCATATCGTCCGTGTCCGCAAGAACAAAGGCAAAATGCCGCGTCACGGGAAGTGGCTACCCACAAACCATCAAGAGCCGGCCGAGCAACCACTCTTTGCTGTTGCGACAATGGAGGTAGATCCCAGCCACGAAGGCATCAACTATGACAACCTGCCAGTCCGGCTGCAGTCCGTGCTCGACATAACCCAGAGAGATGCCAACGGTAAGGTGTGCAAAGTGGAAATCAAGGAGCCTGTCTTAGTCCGCTTCACTTACCTCTCCAACAGCAGACTGAATGTAGCCTGCCAGCTTGCCAACATCCTCTTCACCCCAGCCGAGCGGGAGGGGGCCTCCTGCCTGGGGCGGCCTGGCACACGGCAGCTGGACTCAATCCGATTGGATGCCCTGCGAGAGGGGACCTTCAGGATCTGCCCTGCACCTCTTACGGAGCAGAAACACTTATGGTCCTATTGTGTAAAGGCTATAGACAGGTTGTCAGTCAATCCAGACATGAGTTACCCAACATCGTCAGCTACTTTGGTTTACCCCAATATCAAAGCAGAAGATGAAACCCCTGGTGAATATGAAGTCTTAGCAGAGGATATAAGCCACTCATCTCCTGAGGATGAAAACTGAAAAATGTAATATTTATTTTATTTTTGACATTTTAACAATTTTATTTTTGTACATAAGGAACCTCTGTAAATGCATTTCAGGATTAAATAGTTAATGGTTTCTACGTTCAGACACTTCATACTGTAAGTTTAGGGTTCTTTCAGCTGTGTTAGTTGTCCAAAATGCAGACTTTCTAAAGTACATATCGTTGTTAATCTAAATACTACGGGTAGACTCAAAACTGCTCCAAAGATCATCTCAGTTCCCTTCCACGTTTGATGGAAACAGCTCATTCAAACAACATCATTTCTGACATCACAGGTGTCCGTTTGCTGTCGGGGCAAGTGGTACTTTGTGTCTTTTAAGTCTTAGGACACAGTGACAGCAGCATGGGTGGCATCACTCACCCCTCTGAGTTTGTGCATTATCAGATGATTGGCCAGGTCTGTTGCTTGGCAACAGCTTGAAATTTCACCCAAGGCTGCAGCCAGTTCAGGTAAAGTCAGGTGTAATGTCAAGTCACCGCCAAGTAATATCATACAGATGCTTATCAATCACAAGCTCATTTTGGAGTGCACCTACATGTAGTAAGCATGCAATCAAACACAAGTACACTGTACATGTACACTGTGCATGTGCCCCCATGATAACAAGTGCCCTTTTGTTGATTTATGCCAACCATAAACCCCAAACTGTGTGCTTGCCCCATACATGTACATGTAAGAACATGCACGCTGATACCTGTACATGTACATGTCACGATGTTGTTGCCGTGAATACAATATCCATCTCCAAAAAAAAGGCATCTGGTGAATGCTATTTCAATATACATTGTTGTTACATGTATCACAAGGTGAAACACCAAACAATGTGTACCTGTAATGTTTTACCTTATTGAGCAGAGTTTTTTTTTATAAACAACGTTTAAATGTCTTATTTGTGTTACAGTGCTAAAAGATCACTTTGCTCTTTCGCCTGAAAAATTTACCTCAGTTAATCGTAACTTCCAGGCCGACATTATACGTATCTGTTTGTGCACATTTGAAGGGTTGTTGTGATACATCTATAAAGTCGATTTGAAAAGTTCCTGATGTTAAAGTTGTGTAGATAATGGGTGAAGGTTCACAATAATTGGATTAATAGTTTTCTTAATTCCACAATTTTACCGATGTATTTTGATCCTGTAACTAATCTCAATCTTTTAATAAGCAAAATGGGAATTTCCTTTTTAGCGTATTTATTGCACCTGTGCATGTATTTATCCAATTTGTACCTGTGTAATTGCATTAGGTTATATTGTGGATAGGAGATCTGACACTTGCATTTATAGGTGACATACCGCACATGTAGATGTACATGTACCATGTCGTACAGGTGCGTGTAGCTGAGTTGAAATACATGAACATGTTGTAAAAGTATGTATACATGTACGTGCCCTTTAACTACTGTATTACACATCTGTCAACTGCGATGAATGTGTTTGTTTTGCTTTGTCCTACAATTGCTTTCATGGGACACATACTGTACGTGTACGTACCGGTACCATAGCTGTAGAGCATGTAATATATATGTAATATACAGTCATGTCTTCTACAAGGTACATGTACAGTTTATGTATGTGGAGCTGACTCAGGAATTATTGCATTTCACCTGCTTGAGACATTGTAAGCGTTGCAGGCATGAGAGGCCCAAAGTGTAGAATGAGCAAGTTTAGTGTTCCAAGCATGTCCTAAATGAAGCGCAGCAAGATCAGTCAGTGTCCTTTCAGAGCGGCCATACGCTGACTAATATGCGTGCTTTGTCCTCAAATGATCTTTGCTTTTTGGAATACCGAAGAGGTTTATTACAAATCATCTCTTTTGGACTTTGAAAGACACTTCGTGGGGCAGTTGTTTTGTTCCACTGGAAAGCCTCCCTTTGTGCATATCCTGTGGAACCAACGCACTGGCCTTCAAGATGACAGCCATGCAAACCCTCTATAGTGTTGGAAGCAAGTTCCTGCAAAGTTTGCTTGTTGAACATCACTCTGCAAAATACAGGAAAGTTCACAGGACATTCAAGTAAAGTATTGCTTTTCTTTTCAAAAAGGAAGACATTGCAGTTTGTTGCTCATGTGAGTTCCCGATTTCCAAAGCTACATGCACTTGCACTTTGCTCAATATTGATTGTAAGATGTCAGCAAGAAACTAAATTGAAATTTGAACTCCAGGGATGCTACTCTTCAACTTAAAATGTGGTCTGTCTACATGTACTTGTACAGTTAAACCTGTAAAATAAATCCATGAATGGTATAACAACTGTTTTGCAGCCTAGGATTTACATGTAGCATACAGTATATGTGTACATGTATTCATGCCCTAGTGCTCACAGCACTGTTACGTGTACATGCTTGTCCACATGTCTCTTTTGTTTGTTTGTTGGGGTGTTGGGGGTTTGTTTGTTTGTTGGTTGGTTGGTTGGTTGGTTGGTTGGTTGGTTTGGTTGGTTGGTTTGTTTGTTTGTCTGTTTGTTTGTTGGGGTGTTGGGTTGTTTGTTTGTTTGTTTGTTTGTCTGTCTGTTTGTTTGTTTGTTTAGTTAATTATGCAGAGCCTATGCTTTGGCTTGTGCTCATGAGATGCAGTGTGATGTCTTCAGGTTACATGGATTTTGTTGTTACTCTCAATAAAAGTCAATTATTCATAACAATAAAAATCAATTATTTAAAATTGCCTTGTCAAATAAATTCTAATTTAAAGTTGGCCACCTTGCTCATAAAAATGCAATCTTCCTACAATAAGCCTTTTGTGAGTTAAATTTGAGTAAAATCTGGTTCACTGAGTTATGTGATTGTACATAAATAGAACAATTCAAATTCCCCAGACTAAAGACACTGTTGTTATACCTCATGATTCCGGGCAAGCTATTGCACAGTAACCACCATCTCTGGAATGGACTGGTTCCAGTGTACCATTCTTACCCAGTGAAAACAGTACATTGGTACAAGGCATCTTTTACGTAACTAAGCAAAAGCTTGCCCTGAATCACAAGGTACCGGTATAGCTACAGTGTCTTTAGTCTGGGGAATTGAAATTGTGATGTTCACTTGGATATAAAAAACTCAGTGTACCAGATTTTATTCAAATTTAACTCGCATTAAACTCTAGTTTCAGAAGTAATTCCATGCTATCATAAATTTCAAGGCCTATACTGGTATAATGTATGAGTGCATCCATTTATAATATACATTGTATACATTTATAGTCTACTGTGGTGATAATGATATAACATTTGCGTGCATACATTTAGCTTGTGAAAGTTTTTTGTGGTTTAAAAGTACATGCTAAAAATGGAACCATTCTGTGTAATTTTTGCAAAAGTGTACCCATAGAGTACAATTGTTACATTAGTAATATGATTCGTGTCTAGTGTGTTAGAAGAAGCTGAGTTTTAAAAACAAGCTTGTAAATATTTTGGTAATAAAATCTCCAGTCTGTTTCATTGCACATCGCTTGAGGACTCCAAAGTGATCTTGTTTCTGATGTTGTTTTTCCAACTGTGTTGGCTGTGTGGAATCAGTGAACTCATGCCCTTCTTTAGCAGTGATGGAGAGAGAGACTGACACACCCTGTAACACCGTTGGTGCCATTAAGTAGCTTGCCATGCTCCACACACTCCTTACATTTAACATTTATGTACATGTACATTGTTATGTTAATTTGTCGTGTATACATGATGTGTAGTGTGTACATGTAGGTGTGACGCCAAATAAGCCTTTTTGTGAGTTGAAGCTGAATAAAACATGGTACACTGAGTTCTATAAATTCATATGAACATAACAATTTGAATTCCCCAGACTAAAAACACTGTTGCTGTACCTCATGATTCGGGCAAGCTCTGGCGCTGTTACATTAGAGACACCTTTCACCAGTACATTGTTTTCAATGGATAAGAAAAGCACAAATGAACCAGTCTATTCCAGAGATGGTGGTCACTGTCCAAAAGCTTGCCCCAAATCACAAGATATAGCAACAGTGTCTTCAGTCTGGGGGAATTCAAGTTGTTTTGTTTATGTGCTATTAGATATTTCAGTGCACCAGATTTTATTCAAATTTAACTCGCAAAAGGCTAGTTACTGAAGAAGCGTCTCGGTTGGCACCCCCCTTCCCCACATACGGTAAAATGTAGGGTCAGAGATGGTGCAAAAATAAATGATATGGGGGATAACCAATTAATAAAGCTGTTACTTGAACACTTTAAATGATTTTTGAAAAGGAAGAAGTTTGTCTTCAGAAACCTTCATAATGGAGTCCTTAATGATGCATTTTGACTAAGATTCCTGAAATTTTTTCCTCCAATTAAATTCTTTTCTTTTGAGAATTTTAAGGAGAGACCCGAAAAATTCTGAAATGGTTATGAAATAAGATGTGTTCATCAACCTCACCTTGTTTGTCCTTTCAACCTCTGCAGGGTCTTTCAGGGCTCTTTGCCATGCTCCCCAAACCGCGGAATGCCTCCCTCAGGGAAACCAACCGCATTCTTCTCCCCCACACGCTGACCAAGAAGCCGGCACCAAGCAAGCCAGCCGCAAACCCAACCGCTAACAAGGTGCCGTCCTCCCAACCTGCACCTGCCAGGTCTAAACTGAGTGGGCTGGCGACAAGTTATGGCAGCGATGGGGATGACGAGGATGAAGCAAGCACCTCATCTTTCTTTTCTTTTGGGGACACTTCTCAAGCGGAGCCCGTCCGGCCAAAAACAACAGTCACAAAATCCGAGATGCCGGATTTGAGTAAGGCAAAGCCTCAGCCAATAAGCGCTGCCGTGGGACCTTCTCAATCTAAACTAGCACCAACCAGTTTGACACCAACCAATCCAGACAGCACCGCTAAACTTAGTAGTACTAATTTTGGGCCGTCATTGTCACAGGACTCTCCTATCACTTTTAAGCTAACGGATGCTCCCTCGGGTCAAGACGCTCCCCTTGCATTTTCGAAGCCAGTGGATTCATCAGCGCAGTATGCTTACCAAACACACCAGTATGCAGACTCACAGATGTACCCCCCTTCGTATGGCTATGGTTACACCGAGTATAATCAACCCTATCAGGAACAAGATCCATCGATGTACAGTGAGATGCAAGGTGTCACCAGTGAAGGACAGCAGGGTGCCGGAGAATCCACAGATTTGACAACAGACAAAGAGGTATGCACAGGTTGAAGACATGGTTTATTATTGGTGCCTTACTCCCAGGAAACGAAATATAGTAGTTAGTCATTTGCATCATCATGTAAGGTAGATTTCATTTCCTACAGTCTTTCCTAACTGCAGTCCTCAGCGTTACAAGATTTGGGTCAGTTTAGCAAGAACTACACCAAAAGTGTTCAACAGCATGCAGAGGTTAAGGTTTTGTCTGCTCAATGGGATCATGCCTTCTCTGTACATCTTACTTGGCATCCACTTTCAATTCTGGTAAGGAAAGCAAGAAATTTCTGAGATTCTTCTCAGGCGTTGCAGTGTATGTAACTCCCAAAAGAAACTAAAGAATTGTGAACTTGGGTTGGGTACTTGGAGTGGACACAGTCTTTCCCACAAGAATACTGTTTTTGAGAATTTGCAGTGTAAGATTTCAAGCACTGTATAACTCTTAACAACTTTCCATGATGCAGTTCCAGAGATTGATGGGTAAGCGCAATGTCGGCCGGGAGTCTGTCAACGTTGTTAACGTTGCGGCAGATGATGTGATAGGACCCACAAGCCACTTGGACTGGTTGAAGAAAAACCTGACAGAAGAGAAGGAGTACAGGGCCAAACTGGTGAGAAATGTGCTATGTAACTTTAGTACGTCAAAAAGACTGAAGATTACCTTGTCTCAGGCAAAAAGGGGAAAGTTGAAAGGCAGTAATATTTGGCTCTTAATTTAATAAATTCATTTAGCAAATGTACTTTTCCAACAAATACCTGCACAGTGTCACAAAGTAGCATTATTGACGTCTCAAGTAACACTGACTCCCAACCTGGTATCACTTTGGAAATAATTGACATCAGGGTCACATTATCAAGTAATTACATTTTAAAGTGTTGCTCAGTGAGCTACAAGATCTTCAAAAGTTTTTGCGTATAATAAACAGAAACGTTTTGGAGGGATTCCTTCAAATTTAAGAGTACCCGAATTGACTGCACTTAAATGATAGAAACATCCTACAGATGGAAAGAGAATGAATGTTTTAAACAGATCAACCGAATTTTAAACAGTGTTTTGTTGCAGTCCATCACAAGTCCCTGTAAGTCTGTCAAAAGTCATTTCACAAGCTATTCAACTGAATAGTGACAAAAGCATTCTTTCATTTGTCACCGTTCACCCTGTTACTTATGACTGGCCTTGTGAAGGGACTTGTGACTGGATTTGTGAAGGGACTTGTGACTGGATTTGTGAAGGGACTTGTGACTGGATTTGTGAAGGGACTTATACTATGATAGACTGGAATACAACACTGTTTTTCAAGATTTTAAAACAAAAAAGTCACAGGGTTTGTCCTCACAAGTTTTTAATTTGGTGGTCTGATTTAGTAGAGAACATTGTGGAGAAGGCCACAGATTTCCAGTTGAGAGGTTAACTCCTTTTCTTTTTTCAACCAAATAGAGGCATATTGTCTGACATGGCAGTAGACTAGATACTCTTCTACTTGTATTGTTGATGATGCCTGATGCTAAATTGCTTTTAAATTTCTCAATGCAGAGGAAGGAGCAACTGCCAACAGGTCAGCAGAGACGGAAACACCAGATCACCTTCCTGGCTCATCAGGTAGGTGGAGTTAATGACACATCAGTCAGTGGTGTACATCCCTGGGGGAGGGGACTAAATCTTTACATTGCTCGGCCATGGAAATTTGAGTGAGCGAAGACATGCATGGGTAACATTAGAGAAGGGGGTTGCTAACACCACTTTTTTCTCCATTATTCACTTAATGTGTGCCTGTAAAAAAAAAGTCCAAATGAATAGTTTACTTTGCCTGTGTGAAGTTAGCATCACGTCACTCCCACATCAGTTGGTAAAATGAGGGCCCAATTTTCTGCAGCTCTTAAGCAGGTATATACCACACCTCAGAAAATGTATGCACTACAGTATGAGCTGGGAACCAGTCACAAGCAATGCAAATTACGTGGCTTTGCAGCTGGTAATCAGTGTCTACCCTGTGGATATTTCTCAGCGCATTGTAAATTTCTGCACCATAAACAACAGCTGCATGCATGGCGACAGTTAAACGGCTGTGACCGAAGTCAGTCTACATTAAGTTTTACCGTTTTGCCATTGCTCTCTTTGTTTTTGCAGGCCAAGGAAAGAGAGCTGGAGCTCAAGAACCAGTGGGCAAACAACCGACAGACTAGGAAGGACACACAGATGAAGTATGGCTTCTGAAGGAGTGGTTGTGTGGTTTGGTATCCAGACTACTTCCTGCAGTCTGTGAGGAATGTTTAGATAAACCGCCGTGCTTACAGTGTTAGCCTTTGAAATGTGGAGAGGCGTTGAGGGCTGATGAGCACTGTGCTGTAAAAACAGGATGGACCCTATAGCCCTTGATAACTGATAACTTGTTGTTAACCCCATTGTCCTGTTGTAAGGAACTTTCTTAGACTGCCAAATCTGCTACTTTGCTGTTAATTAACAGTTCCTTGTTTGTATGTACTCAAATCCAGAACGTATCATGGAGAAAATGGAAATTATCAGTAGACTGTGCTTCAGGTATTTACGTGTAGTGAGGGTTATTTGTAAGTTGGTAGGGGGATGTGCCAACCTGCGTGCAGGGTGGGACAGAGTTGCTGTTCCTTCTTATCCCTTGCTCGACAGTGAGCTGTTCTGTGACAAAGTCATCAGACCTTGATGCCCGTCTACATGTTTACATTTGCACGCTTGCAATGACTGCACATTGTCACGGAAGATTCTACAATGCCAGATCATTTCATCCAAAAAAAGTGAACCCTCCACAAATGTATTACTTTCTGTGAGCCCCTATGAAGCAACTGTGAACGTGCTTTTTAGAACTGTACATATCAGTGGAAAGATTGCAAGCACAGGTACCAAATTCAGGATTACATGTAATGTGTCTCAGATAGGGTTTGTGGTCTTTGTTCTGAAGAGACTTGCAGATTCCTCCTTAAATTCTGTTAGAATATTATATACATATATTTACAGTTTGTTTGGTACATTGAATACTACTTTTGAAGGAGCTCTTTGATATTAGAATGGCACATCTTCTGTGTACTTTCTTACTTTATCGATATCCTTTTGGGGAAAAATGTGTATGTGACTTTGATAGCGAAGTTTTAACCTGAATACAATTTATTAAATACCTTCAGTTTCAACATTTCTTTAAGAAAGTGAAAAGAGACAAAACTTACTCTTTTCATCCTACAAAACACAAATGGAATTTTGGATGTATAAAAAGTGAAACATAATAAAATTTCCATGTGGTCCTTAACCTGAGTCTATTATGTTGCAGTATTTCCAATTGCATTCGTTGTTGGATATACATGATAATGATGGAATGTCAATTCTACAGTCTGTGGTTTGATTTTTCATTTGACAGACTGCTAATAAAGCTATTCTTGACTTGGCTTTATCAAATGAAGTCACAATTCTCTTGTCAAGTTACTACTAAAACTACGAAAAAAATTGTTGAAACACCAACCTTCATTGTCAGAATAATTTTACGTAAAAGTACATGTACATCAACTTTACAAAAAATTGTTCTACAAAAGACTAAATAAATAAATGTATAAACTAGAAGTTGTTTAATAACAAACCAGTGTACCTTTATGTATATGTACGAGCAATCAACGGGAAACCACTTCCAATAACATCATCCACAGCTGACAAATTCACTATGCCGCAGTTAACACATCTGGTGCCCTTCAACTTAGTTTTATGCATTAAGATGCATGGCTTGTAAACTTTGAAACGTGGGGAAAGTATTGTTGATAGTTTCACATGCATGTTAAAGCATGGAATAAATTTGGAGTCCCAGGTGTAGCAGCCATGTATTTCATCCGTAATGTGACAGTGAACAAAATCCAATATGCATACTGTGTTTACCCTTTGAATTAAAATTTCCCAACCAACAAGTTTCTGTTGAAGAGGATCACTAGTTTTCAATCTTTGGCTTTTACAATGGACCGAACATTGTAATAAAACATTCATCTTGTATTCTGGTTCCTAGTAGACAAGACAATTTGTACATTTAAATCAGTGAGGAAATTGGCTCTCTTGATTTGAGCATTGATTTTATGTGGTAGCATTGAGCACACAACAGAATTAATGCAAATTAATTTACCTTTTTAGCTAACCTTTTTTTTACTTATCAATATTCTACTTCCATGGTAACCCCATCCTCATCGACTTCACCTTCAAAAGTCCTTTGGGCCACTTCCTCCACAAGCTCCTCATCTTCCACAATTTGCCCGGTCCTCTTATTCAACTTTTTCAACTTGAAACCAGTCCTTCTCCCTCCGCACGTCGGGTCAACATTCCTGGGTCGCGGAGAGAAAGAGCCGTCGCCCTCGACGGAAACCACCCAATCGCCCGTCGGTTGGATACGAGCATTGTACTGATTCCCGCTGATCGTTAACTGCCCACCTTGCACGAGTCTGGCGTCCAGGCTGGCCGGGTCCACGTTCTTAGGGATCTCAAAACCTCGTTTGAACTCCTTTGCTGTACACTCCTCCTGACAATCACAGACATGCTTTCCTTGCACAACCAGCCTGTTGCCCGAGGTGGTGACAGACACATCCTCTGGAGTATAGCCGGGGATATACAGAGTAGCCACCTGGGTTTTCCGGAATTGTGAATGCAGAGCTTGACGGGAGCTCCCTTGGTGATGCCTCATGTTGTCATTCATTCCCTGGCAAATGAGCAAGGTATTAGTCATCACCTTTTGCTTGAACAAAGCAGGGGCTTGTGATTGATTTTAAAATGGGTAAACAATGAAAGCTGCACCAAAGACTACACTGTCTGGACTTGCATTTGAATAGGTTTCTCAAATAGGCCAAAAAGTACTTGGGTCACTGAGTGACGAAGCACGTTTGAGACTTCCTGGTCTTTCTGGCGTACGTATTTGTAAGTCAGTTATCTTTATAATTCAAATAAAAAAATTGCATCAACTTAAGTTGCGTAGTTTACATCTCAGGCTTAGAGACGTAGACACTTTCAATTTTTAAACAATTATCACTCGCAGCTATAGGTCTGAGAGAAGCAAGCACTGTCATAACCTACCTGCTTTTGATGATTCCATTCCATCTGTTGTTTCGTCTCCTGTATAGCCTCTTGCTCTTGCATCCTTTTTCGTCTCATTTCTTGTTCCTGCTGAATGCGCCTCTTCTCTGCCGCTCTCCACTTCTTCACTCTCTGCTCCTCCTCCCACTGTTGTCTCCGCCTCTCAGCCTCTTCTTCCTGTCGTCTTTGCTGCCTCTGTCTCATCCTCTCCTCTTGCCATCTCCTTTCATCTTGATGCCTTTGGAGCTCAGCATCCTCCTCTAGCCTTTGCTTCCTCATCTCCTGCTGGAGTCTCTGCTCTTCCATCAGCTGCTGCTGCTCTTCTCTCTCCATCTTGTATTTGTCCCCTGTCGTCTGAGACCTCCCATTATTGTCATCACCCTCTTCTTGACTTTGGCAACCCAGATCATTTCTTTGCCGGTGTGCCTCCTGCTGTAAATCGAAACGACAGAAAAATGAAGATTATCCAACCCTGATGACTATTCTCATAAATTTGTGTCTAAAGTATTCAACCTTTCATAAAAGCCACTTGCAAAGTTGTTACTGCCTACCAAGCTTAGGTCCATTAAAAACTGTCAATAATATTGCAAATGTTTTTTTATCACACTTACAATTGCTCAGCCTATAATTCACCTGTTGAACTGTTTGCAGTGATAACTGTCACGGACGAAAAGGCTGGATAAGTACATTTGTACGGGAAGAGAGGGCATGTCTCATTCTCATCTCATTGACAGTGTTAGTGGAGTTTAGGGGGTTAACAATTGCTTTCTAAAAATAGACTTAAAAAAGACAAAAAAAGAACTTACTATGCCCAAGCTTTTCATTTGAGTAGAATCATCCTGACACCACTGGCAGCCAATCTTTGATGTCCTTTCAGCGGAACGGGGTGGGTGGAGAACAGACAGCCCCATTCCCCATGGCCGATGAGAGAAACCCCAGGGGAAGTGGTGACTCCAGCTGAAGGGGTCATGCCAAAGGTCATCGTGATCGAACCATGGGTCCCGGAAAAATGAATTCATAAGCAGCCTGGACGATGGAGTGTGGGTGCCATAGATCGGTTGGTTGCTGGCATGTTGATTGCAACTTCATGAACAAAAATGATAAGAATAAACAAGAATGTTTGAATATTGTAATATTATGTTTCTAACAATCATTATTGCCTTCCTTTATCAACCAACAACTGTGAATTTGTATGCCCCACTAATAAACAACTTAAAATTGACAAACCACATGGAAGTTTTGACGAAGCCCAGACTTACCAAGACTGATGAGGCGGAATCCTGCCTTCACTGCCCACACCAGCAGCAAGCACGAGCGCCATTGCGCAAATCTTCGGAAGAGACGCCATAACAAGTATGTGGACTTTTTGCTGAGAAACGTGGAAGTACTGGCGACTCACAGCTTGCTCTCTATAAACTAAAGTTGGACTAACTCACTTGAACGGTTTCATGCACATCCGAGAAAACGGCTGGTTTTAACTGCAGAGCAAAATTGGTGCAACCTGGAAATTTCACTCAAACGCACTTGTTTAATGATAATGTGTGATATGACCGGGCGGATATGGCTCAGATAATTTTTGTGTATCTCTGTGTTGTTCAAGAATAAACAGACGGATATTTTTGTCACATATTCTCCCAGTTTTTATGACGAACATATCGCAAAAGGGACACGTAGATTTCTCAAAAGCAACCAACACGCTCTCGACACGTCGAACAAAATCGTTTCTAGGAACTAATCTTGTGTGTAAAGACACGTGTGCGTTGATATTCTCATCCCGTTACAGAGTTGCATCAGCCTCCTGAGCGGGGCTGCGATCAGGTCTCCACTGCCCTGTTTACAGAACTTTCGAGGAGATTCTGTTTATTTCTTGTGCTAAAAATAGCCGTGACGTATCTATCGGGAAAGCCGCAACGACGACTGTTAACTGTTAATTTTTTAGATTCTGTACATTTGTACTGTAGAACTAGAACAGCCGTCAATTCTGTTGAACTCATTTTTTGTCTAGCTCCCAGTCAATGAGGAACAACTGGGAGAGCGTTTCGCAAGAGGAGAACAGACTAAAATCAGAAGCCCTCAAGCGGTCGTGGTTACGAATGCGAAAGAAAATATACGTACGTGTGCAATCCTTGTACACATAGGGGCATAGACTATGTACAGTAGTAGTGTTTGTGACGTGTAACGCAGAGAGTTGAGAGTCCAGTTGTCCGAAGTATGGATTTTAACGACATATTTCGTTCCTTTTTTGGGATGCACTACCCTAGAGGCTCTATGGAGAAGTAAGAATTTTTTTATTGAAGATCGTGATGTGTTTTTAATTCAATAATTGGCACCGCGCCGTCGCGTGCCTCGGTAGGAAGACAAGGATGTTGAATGAGCGATTACGTCATTCTGGCGTTCATTGCCATTAGCACCCTGTTCCTATATAATAAGGAAAACGAAGTCCACTTTTGAAAATAACTGACATTCAGACCAGACCTTGACGAAAGACGACCGTATCACGCCATTTTGTACGCCACCGTGTTAGTGTGAGTGTTCCATTTGAAATCAGAAGATAAGCACAAAAATTAGAAAGATTGATACATGTAGGAGCGGAGCTCAGTTAAAACAGTGGATGGTTAATATGGAGTCATGGGTTGTAAAGAGGAGGGTGATTTAATGACATTGGCCTACTGTGAGAATTTGTAAAATACTCAAAATAGGAGGATTGAGGATATAGTCTAGACCTAAGTATGGGAAGGCCTAAAGTCACGACACATTTTGATGGGAGTCTTGGCATGCTTGGCAGTGTCATCTCCATTTTTCCTTAAGTAGTAATGTTACGCCCCAACTATAGCATCAATCCCAACTATAGTTGGGCCAGTGCCAACTATAGTAGGGCCCGTCCCAACCAGAGTGCTACAGTTGGGCCGGCCTAACTACAGCAAAGAGGTCCTGTGTGCACGATGTGCCCAGCATGTGCCAAAGTCATATTGCTTACAAATGTCATGTCATTGGTCATAGGGCTAGATGAACAGATGAGGTGCCACATTTTAGATGAATTGTGCCAAGTGAGCCACATTGACTTGGATAATGTTGAGACATTTCCAACAGACATTGGTCAACAATAGTTGGGACTTATGCTATAGATTGGGCAAACAGTAATGTGGCCAGTCCTTGATAGACTTTAAACTGGGCATAGGCAGTCGGGGGAGCCAACAGTAGGCTGCACATACTTTCCTCAGTTTTATCCCCATGACTGGGGTTCAAATCCCATCTACATGTAGGCTGACGTGCATTTGATTCTCGGATCCTCTCTGAGGTTTTTGGGGGAGGGGGTTCTCTGGAATCTTTGTCCAGGGTTCCCCCAGGAAGAATTTCATATACGGACAACACTTAATGCCCCTGTGCACAAACCTATGAGACTTGTCTGTGTTTTTTCTTCAGAAGTAAATGCTTCAGAATTTTCTCGGCTAAACTTCACTTTTTAGGACATGCTACCAGTTTCTGATGGCTGTCATACATGTACATTTTTAAGGGAAAATTATTGGTGTCCGTATATGGAACTCTACCCTTCCTCCCACGTCAATCTGACCTTCAATGTCTTCTCCCTCCGGAAGTCCGGAGACTTACAACTGATAGAGCTCTACCCTGGATAATGTATGAAACTTCCATTCTGGCTGTGTCAGACTGATACAATCATGTCCATACATGTACATAGCTGCTGGCATAACCCAATGAAATGTACTTCAAAAGTTGAAGTTCACAATTCAACGGAAAACTATGCTTTGGAATATGCATCTTCAAATCAGATGCTTGGTATTTGTAGGTCTGGATATTTAAATAATCACAATATTATTGAACCTTTTGACAAATTATGGTTAACAGAGTCTCCATGTGTGTGCTGATCTTGATGAATGTCAAAATACTGTAGTTTATTCTCATTCTTGGGTATGTTTCACAGTATTTCCAACAAAATTGGAAAATGGTGGTAAAGTAACATGTAACTGGTACATTTGAAAAGATAAAGTAAAGATTTATGAACTGAAATATTGGAATTTCTCAGCACATGTTCATGTACATGATCTTTGTGAGTTTGTTTCTGCATTCAATTGGGGACCCTGAACAATAGAGGACAATAAGGTCCCCAATTGACAAC